AAGCAGTCAATGGTATAGTATTGCCGATCACTGGACTCGTGGATCGTATACATCGACCGTCCCTTCAGTTTTGTATTGAGTTTGTCAATGACATCGACACTGAATTCAACGGTCTTGAGGTCGGACACCGACAGCTCCTGTCGTATGAACTCTATTAAGGGAAGGGATGGCCGGGACGGGAGGTCCGGTAGGAGTGGCATGAGGTCGGATTGGACTTCCATTTGATGGTCAATCGACTCGTTAATCACTTTATTGTCTGAAAATTACAAACAATTTATAATAAAATACAAAATCAATAGACAATTAATTCACAAAACCCTTACCATTGATGGCTTCAGGAAGTTGTGGCGTTTCAATAGATCGGGAAGTCGTACAGAAAGAGTTGACATCCGTTGCCATCACTACTACAGACTTGAGATCTGATTGGTCCGCCATTTGATGGTCAGTCGACTCGTTAACCGCTTTATTATCTGCTAATCAACAGTCAATCAATACAACAAATGACAATAAAATTACAAACACTTACCATCGATGACCTCCAGAGGTTGTGTTGATTCCAAGGGCACAGAAGTGATGGACTGTTGGTTTTGGTGGACCAACTTTTTGTGCACTTTTTAATCAACAAAATACACAATAAATACTAAATCAGACAAACAATTCACAATAAATCCTCAAACCCTTACCATTAAGACGTTGTGACGTTTCTACCGATACAGAAGTCGTGGACACAGACTGGACATCCATATCAACCACTGCTTCAATGAGATCCCATTGATCGGTCATTTGATGGTCAGTCGACTGGTTAACCACTTTGTCTGTAATGATAAACAAAACAGTTAATAAATACCAAAAACACAATCAAATGCAAAACCCTTACCATCGCTTGTCTCCAGAGGTTGTGTCATTGGTTCCAACGGCACGGGAGTCGACGACAAGTACTCGACAGTACATTCAAACACTTCCTCCAACTTACAGCCATTCAAAACAAGGCTTACATAATGACTAGTCTTTCCCACAAGACTGATATCCAGCAGACAATCGCAAGCAATACCCTTTTGAGTGACTTTATAGTCAATCTTCTTATCACCGAATACTTGCGGCCAGTATTCGACCATTCGGTTAATGATTTGTTGCCTATTCTTCGGTATCAAAGTCTGTATCAATTGGTGGGATGTCTTTGGTGGCGACTCCGGGTCGTAGTCCTCGGGAATGTGTTGGATATCAATGGCGTAATTGTACTCATATTTAACCGCCGATGACGACGTCAACTGCGGCGGACTAGTAGTGGGCGTGACTACCGGTGCTGCACCGGCAGCCGCTGCAAGTGGTTGGCGGCCAAAGTTGTTCATCATTGACCGGATAGAGCACCAGTTATGCGACTGCGGTGGCAGTCTATCAGCCTTTATCGCCAGTACTTTGTTGGGCACGATATCGACTTCGAAGTTCAGGATACCATAGCCGTCATTGAAAGCCACTAAACGTTGCGTATAGTCGAGACTGCGAGCGCACCGGAAGGTACAGGTGCTGCCATTGGCATCGATTATCT